GTTTGAAATGGAAAAGCAAGCCATAAAATCTGATACAATTATACAAGATAAAAAAGTACAACTGCATAAAGTGTTAGTTTTTGTAGTTTTTGATAGTTAAGTACAAAACACAAATTTCACATGTTATCATAATCACAACAAAAACAGCTTCTCCACTGACTTCGAGTTAAATTTAAAAAATAATAATAATAAAACTATTAACATTTTGTATGCAGGGGTTGCTCACAATTATTACGATTATTGAAAATGGCGAAACAGCATGGCTAAAATAAAGAGAATGAACAGATCTATCTATAACTGTTACAAATGTACTCTACAAGGAGAAAGGTATCCAAGTTACTTTTCCCTCTAAGGAGGGGGGATTAAAAGCAGTTAAGAATAGTAGTTTAATAATCTCAATTATAAATCAATATTTGGAATTGATTAAGCAATAATCATAATGATAATTGAATTATGATTAATTGCACAGCCCTACTGTTTGTTTGTACATCATTTGGATGATTTAAAAAACATGTTAACTGTGAATGACTCAATTTCAGACAATTGGCCTAAGATGATCCTGAGTGTGAGACGAATTATGAGGTGAGTGTGCGTTGTGTGTAGTGTACACACAGCAGCTGAACCCAAGGGACAGGGCTGTGTGCTATGAGCCTGCAGGAGGGAGGGCTGCTCTGGGCTGGGGGGTGAGGGTGAGGGGGGAGCCTGGCAGTGCGAGGGTTTCCTCTGGCATTAGAGAGGAACAGTGCTTGCGGCGAGCTGGGGATGAAAGAGTCTGTCTGTGTCAGTCACTTATTCCTCCCTTTGGTAAATAAAGGTTTCTGACAACAAAGGCGAGTAGTGCTTGACTGGCCTTTACAGTGGATAAATAAAAAAGACAACACAGAGAAGAGTAAGAGTGTGGAGAGGGCAAAGAGAGGAATACAACAACAAACACACTCAGATCTCACCAGTGGAAGCATGTTGATTTTTATCGACTAGAGAAGATGCTGCACAACAAAACCAGGTCATCTTTCAGTTTACATCAACATTTGACCTGTCCGATAATTGGAAAGGAAGGGGAGGAATTATTTACAATAGAAGAGAGACAGGCCTGACACTAGACTCATTAAGTATTAACATTTAATTAACATGAAAGAGTTTTTCTTTTTCAAAAGCTCAGAGTACACAATAACACAAACCCTTAAAAAGCACTATGGCATCAATGCTTGGCTTTGCCTTTCTGTTTGGTCCACTACACTTGGGTAAGGAAATAATGTAAGTTTAAACAACAGTAACAAGATTTGGATTTGACATATTTCATCACTATATGAAGCCATGGACAGGTAACACCACCTGCTATAACATGCCAATCTATTGACAAAGATGCATTACTGTACAACTGGAACCATGGCCAGAGTATCAGCATGAGTAGTGCACACCTGTTTCCAGAATGGACCGCTTCACTGACCTTTCAGCCTCCTGGTTCCCAAGGCTCCTGGATGACCTTGTGCACAGTCTATGTCACTGTGAAAAGCTATCTAGCAGATGAACGACACCTCATTCTATACTGAAGAAAATTGCTCACTGAAATAAATAGCAGGTCATGTCACTCCCTCACATGGTCAATTGGAGTTCTCCATTAAAAAAACAGACTTTCTAATGAGCCGTTCTTTAGCCATTATACTTACTCTAGGATTGAAAAAAGCAATCAAAATCTTGACTTCATATTTACCCCAATAATCCAATAGATTTTCTTATGGAATACTTATATGGGTTTGAGAATATCAACATGTAGACGTCAAATATACAAGATTATATTTGATATAAATTATATAAAAGTTATTCTCACAAAGCATCTTGTTCAGTGATAATCCAGAAAAGATATTGTGACTGGGAAAGAACTGCAGTTAATTCTACTTCTCACATAAAGATGCCAGTTTACTTTTGGTACGAGTTGTGGGTCATGGAGTATACAAAGTATATCATACAAAGCATATCATCAAAAATGTTATGCCCAAATGAAGTGTGTAAACAAATACAGTCTACTGTCAGAATTAATAGCAAAAACCTCCCTCAATTGTATTGAGCAGGAGTAAATAATTGAGGCTCCCTGTGACATGACCGCATCCCAAGCAGTTAGCCTGTATAAAACCTGACGCTAGCACTCTGCCCTGCTAACTCAACACGTTGCTGAAATATTCATAAGAAAAATGTTTGTGTATGCCTTGCAGAATATGCCTCTACTGAATGGTTACATAGACTATCCCAGCCACCACAGAATTACCCATGTTCTTTTAATATCTTCCAACATTGCCTGTAAAGCTACCTGTTCAATGAGTAGAAAGCTGACAGGATGACTGATTGAGCCCCGCGCACTTAACCCCTGCTGCGGTGCACTGTTCGGCGCTCACCTGAAGACGTGCCTGTGATCCGGCTGTGATGAGCACTCTTTGTTGAACCGGGAACACCTCAGATCACTGAACGCTGCTCTGCCCCAGTGGACTCAGCTGCGACGCCCGCCCCCCGTGTGAACATGCACGCGCACAAATCTGCAAACGCTCGCACACACTCAATCAGGCCCCACACAAGATGCTCCGGTGCCAGCGTACACACAGCAAAGACCACGCACACACAGAGATGCGGCCCGGTATGCCTGCTCACATCAAAGAGAATAAACATTAATGGCAAATAGGTAATCTGCTCCTCTTGTCTGTTTTACATTTCGGGGCAAGATTGACTGCCTCTGGGGGACCTGGTCGTGCACTGATTGGGATCTAGGAAAATCGCATAGAGAAAGAGCAGAAAGAAGTAACAATAATGGTAAACGCCTGATGGAGCATTATTCTGACTTCGGGCATCTATTGATTTTTTATTTATACAGAAAAGATTGAAAAGATGGTAATAATATTCCTCCCAGTCAACCCTTGGTGTTCCACTTTGCTCCCAATCTTGTACTTGTGCAGTTTTGGAATGTACGTAATCTCATCTTTTTTTGAATAATTCCCTAATCTTTGGCCTACCTGCTCTCCAAAGCTCCTTTTCCCCTCTTTGGTCTGTCCTAGCTTCTCCACTGGCACCACCTCATCAGATCCACACTGTGCATTTCCATTCACCTGTTACTTCTTGTTGTCTTGCGCTTTCTTCTGAGTGGTCAGGGTGCTCTGTCTCCCTCTCTCTTCACTGCTCTTTTCATATTCTGGAGGTGAGGCTGGGTTAGTGTGATGGGGATGGTGGTGGCACGCAGCACCTCATATCCTTACTGTGTATCAATCATGAAGTCCTGTCCACTCAATCCTCCTCTGATCCATCAGCTTGCCTCTGCTCGCTCCCTTGGCCTCACTCACACATCGCTGACTAATAGCTCTAACGGCACCTGTACAGCACACTCCAGCTTATAACAAGTCCAGCTGAGGCAGAGACACCAATATATATATATATATATATATATATATATATATATATATATATATATATATATATATGTTAGTTAAGGATTTCATTAGTAGGAACTGTGTGGAATATTTCATAAACATGACCTATTTATCTCTCAGAAATTGTGCTGATTAACTCAGATACATGATACATAGATACATAGATACACAACATGATATTAAAGTAAGTTAAAGTTACTTTTTTCTTTGGGTTGCCAGATTCTATAGCTATGTTATGTTCTCATTTTTCAATATATGGTACGTAATTACATCACCGTTTGGGACTTGTGACAGTATTTTTTAATCAGTAGGGCTACACACACTTCCGCAAAAAACTTCAGTGTGCAATAAACTTCACAGCATTAAGAAAATGATAATGAACAAAAACATTGCAAAAATAGAGAAAATGTCTGGGGAGGAAAGGCCTTTACCAAGGCATATTACAATAACACATGATCTAAATACCCAAAAGTCCGACTTAGTGAAGCACTTAACAACCTCCTCCATCTCCCAACCCACTATCATAAACACAGAGAAAATCTGCAGCACCAAACACCAGCAAACCCACCTGCTCATTGCTTAAAGCTAAGCCGATTACACAACGCAGCCTTGCTAATCACAGAGCAGCATTTGTAAACACCAATGTCATCCACTGTACTCCTAAATCTTCCAAATCCCCTCCACCTTTCATCTTACACCACATCAGCAATGCCATTTGTAACGGATGTTTTAATCATTGTTGCCACTGTGCAAATATACCGCTGAGAGTAGCCAGGAAGCATGCAATATCTATGGATCCGGATTTTCAAAATAAGTCACTTGTGTACTGTACACACCATGAAACTCTTTTAACATATTATAAGTGTTAAGGATTTATGAGTCATAGTACCTTTCATCCTTCTAATGAAGATCTTACCCATTTGCCTTAGTGATTAAAACCATCTCTGCTCTTCCCTGCAGCTGTACAAGTAAACAAAGGACCTTGTGTGTGCATATTTTATACCTTTTCTTCACTGTTGGTGTTGTGCATGTGTGCATGAGAGGGATTTAGCAGAACCATAGTTTACTAGTTCATTAACGGCAGATTAGTAATGCTAATGACAGGGGCCACCACACACAGTCTGCTTTATGTCTCTGAAAGAGATTTCTGATCATGGTGGCTCTGTGCTGTGAATGTGTGTGCATTCAGAAAGCATCTGCTCACAGAATCTATGTTTAATTGATAAGCTATTACTAATTACACATAAACTACACATTAGAAAAACATGAAAAGATTAAAATGGATTTTAAATATCCCTTTCTGTTTTTCCTCTTTTTGGCTATCCAAAAAACATTTATTCATCAAGCCAAAAAGGGTCAGAATACAGATTGAATCTGCTCCATGCCAAATAAATTGAGTAGGTTAATAATGGTAATAATGAGGTAAGCGTCATAAAACCAGTGTATATTCAATATGCAAAATATGAGCAGAACGATTTATAGTTACAAAATATATATATATTTTTTAACAAATATTTTAATATTCAGGTATGTTAGGCAAACATGTTTTGCTCAAGAATAGTGGCAATGCAAGAAGCATGTATGTGATACCTTCTGTCTCGGCTGCGTGACCTGTGTGACCGATGGCTTCTTCCTTTATCCCTGTCTGCACTGCGGCTCCGCCTCCTGCGCGATGAACTGTGAGATGAACTGCTGCTGGAACGTCTTCTCCGCCTGCAACACCCAAGGAGAAGGCCATCATGTTAAGTGTTTGGTTGATTTCAATGACAGAAATGTATCCAGGTAAAAACCAACAAAATTTCTCAAAGAGCAACCACACAATATTTTAATCTATTTGGAATAAACTCACTTCACCTCAAAAGCTAACACACATTCATAAAATGCAATTCAAAGCTCATTACAACTTTGCAATAATAAAGATTTGAATATGCTAAAAGCCATAGAGCCCACAGCTCCTCCACCTGGGCCTTTTGGTGTATCATGGAGTAGCGTCTAATTTCAATACAAAGTTCACAAATCACTGATGATGATGGTGTTTTGTTTTTTTTTTGTTCAACTATGGATGTCAGGATTTTTTGGTTAATTGATAACAGCATTTGTTCAGGTCACTATATAATCTAAAGTACAAAAAAAATGGAAATTGAGAGAATCTTGACAAAAAATATGTTCAATCTGAATTTTAAAAACGTAAACCTAAAGTGTGTTTTTATCTGCCTGCTTATGACAAATTAACATGGTTAAAACACATAATATAAATTAAAGTAATTTATCTGTTTATCTCACAATATAATTAATTTTTCATTCAGGAAGTTTTATGTTATAATGGTGATGAAATCAATATGTCAGTGCTGTTTAGTTATAGTGTCAGTAATCATGGAAAATCATAAAATGTTTTTGTTTCTTCTCACAATAATTGTACCACTAGAAATGTATGTTGTGATCTTCACAAGTTGTTTCATTCACCTATCATGTGAGTGTCATGTCCTCAGTGAGTGGATAGAGCCCAGTATAGTATAGTTTAGTAGTTTAGTAGTTTAATTTAGTTTAGTTTAGTTTACTTATTTAGTGTCATGCACCATTTAGTTGGTGCCCAGCCTGCATGGGCTTATAAGACACATAAAACAATAAGCAGACAATATAGTAGCAAGTGTGCAAGGCAGACTTTAGTCAATTTGAACCTAGGATTGCATCATTAATTAAATGGTGAAATGCATAATTAAACCACTTACTATCCTCTTATTGTAAAGTTAATAGTGACTTTGTGCACATTCAAAGGCAAAAAAGGCATACGGTTTACACATGCCGTGTTAAATAGCTTATGTGTGGTTACAGTTTCAAAGTCTTGGTTCAGATCGGACTCGCCTCCTGTCTCTGTCTCCCGGTCCCGATCTCTGTCTCGGTTTCTGTCTCTGGAGCGGCTCCTACGGCTGGACCTCTGGCTGCGGCTGGTGCTCACCCTGCGGGAGGAAGACGAGGAGGACGAAGAAGAAGACGAACGGCGACGTTGTTTTCTCTTCCGTCTGCTCCGACTGTCATCCTCACTATCAGACGAGCGGCGACCCATGCTGCTTTATTATGGCTAGCCTGTGTGGCAGTGTAATCAACATGATCACGAATGAGCTACATTATATGGCACCCAAATCTTAAAATACAAAAGTTGTATTTGATTAACAGCATTCATAAGTCTTGTCATTGGGCAATAGGTTATGTGATCACAGAAATCTAACCAAAAACATAATGCATGGTTACGTTTCACTGAAAATGTAGCAACCAGCTGTTAGCATTGTGGCTAGTTACGGATCCTAAACAGTCACATTACGAGTCATCTGCAGCTCACCCTTTAAAAACAACAGTCATCAAAAACAAAAAGGCTATGACAATACATTATTATATTCGGAATAGTAAAATACCGATGCTCACCTTTCAAATTGTCATTTAAAATCTAGTCCACAACATGTTCTACGTACAAGACGAATCAGGCGAAAAACATCGATAAAAGAACCTTGCAATCGAGCACAGAGCAGTCGATGAGCCTACTCCGACTCAGGACGCGTACGGTTTTACCATGGGCAGTATATGCAACAGCATACTTGAACATACAAATGTGTTATGTGCTTGGTAATGAATATTAGTAATAATATTAATCTTATTTTTTTTTATGATTCATAAATCATAATCCAAGGATTGACAGTTCAATTTTAGCTCTGACCATTGCAGTCAGCCTAATAACCAGGTTGTGTACTGACATGATATTTGAGTGGTGACCAAGGTCTTTGGCGCATATTGTCAGCCAGTTTCCGTCAGTCAGTCCCAGAGCATGAGAGGCAAAAGTGTGCGGACATGGGCTAGAATGACTATGAAACGTAAAGTGCTTGATAGGCCTCTCGTGTTTTTCACAGTTTTTATAGGCAATAGGCATAGCCGGCATAGACCAGCATCATAGACAATCTCATAGACCTATGAGATTGTCTATGATGCTGGTTATTTGAGGCAATGATCCTCAAATAAGAGAAGGCATTATCTCAAAGCTTTACGCATCAACTGAAATGGGAAGAGGCTGTTGATTAAAAAATGAATAGGTTCAGACTGCCCAGCTATAACCTAACATAGGCCAAATAAATGAATCTATCTATAGACAATAAGTAGGCTTACAGTTGTTTGAGAGCAATGTACAACCAGCGTTTAGGCCTTTTCGATGATTTAGCATATCCTACAAAAAACCCCAATATAGGCCTATATATATGTTAGACTCTTATGATTGTTACACCTCTGTTGATATATTTGCGTTATTACAGTCTTATATGCAATGAACGAGATTAAAACACATTAAGTGGAGAGCGAAGTGGCGGCATCGCACTGAAATCAAACGTTTTCAGCAGCATTTGAGATTTTCGCTTTTAACCCATAAACGTTTAAATAGATTATTATTATTATTATTATTATTATTATTATTATTATTGTTGTTGTTGTTGTTGTTGTTAATAATAATAATAATAATAATAATAATAATAATAATAATAATAATAATAATAATAATAATAATAATAATAATAATAATAATAATGTTTTTTATTATTATTATCAATCCAAGAAGTAGCCTAGGCAAGTTTATAAAGATAAAAGTTTTTGGCATGCAAATTATTTTAATAGGTTTAATTAAAGGCCCGAAGCAAAATGTCCACTCCATGCACGAGTGGGACTAAAGCCAAACAGTCTATGCAGACGCGTACTTTCCCAAAGCTGCGCGACTGACTGCTCTTGCATCCCGTCCCAGCTGCTCACTGCCCCGTGTCATCCTTGTGTCTTCTTTTACCCCCGGATCACAGAGAGATACTGAGGAACCACTCTTCAAAACATGTGCTCCCCTTTCGTGTCATTTTCCCATTTTTAAGCCCCACCCCTGCAGAGTGAGAGACGGCCGAAGAGAGGAAGAAAAAAAGAGATCCATGGCCATCTCTCGGGTGTTTGGAAAACTAACTCAGGACAATAGCAACGAATGAGCGCTTAATTCAATTAATTAGTCCCTCTTGTCAATCTCGGATTAATGACCAATAGCGGCGACGCTGCGTAAAGCTTGTTTAAAGCTCTCTCTCTCTTTCTCTCTCAGTCCCTCTCTCACTCCTATCAGCGGAGGGGAAGGGGGGCTCATCCCGGCATCCTGAGGGGAGGTAATTTGCACGGATCAAGGGGGCAAGGCACCGCAAAGTATAAATACTGTGACTTCAATAGAGGTTCACCAGCAGGTTCCCAACTCCGCATCCAAAGGAGGAGGAATTGGCTAAGAAGATACTGCTTTACATGTGTTTTACCTATTCCCAGAGTTGGCAGCAGCATCACCTAACCTCCTCGCCTCATTTCTAAGGGGTCGACTAAAAAACGAACCACACTATTGATGTCTTAAAGGCTGTCGAGGAGCAAAAGGGAGAGGAGAGTGGTGAGTGTGTCTTCTTTCTAACGAGGAGGGAAAGCAGTGATGGAAGAGCTCACCGCTTTTGTGTCCAAGTCTTTCGATCAGAAAGTGAAGGAAAAGAAGGAGGTGATAACCTACAGGGAGGTGCTGGAGACCGGCTCGGCGCGCGCTGGGAGCAGGGAGTCTTTAACAGTTGAGCCCGGGAGTCGAGAAGAAGCGGTAACAGGAGCAGTTGTCAGCCGAAACGTCGCGCTCTCACCAGGAAGAGAAACGGACATGCTCGGCCCAGAAAGAATCAGGGACGCAGGGAGCCCTAAACTCATAGACGGTAAGTCTGTAGGCTTACACATTATGTGCATGCTTTGATCTTGGGCGGACTTAGCACTAACAGCACGTTAAAAACGGAAATTTTATTTTGGGGTGTGTGTGTGTGCGCTATTAAACAGTAAAGTATCACAGTTCTCCCAAGTTAGTGGAAATACCCCAACATATTGTTGAATAAACAAATTTTTTTTTCTCCTAATGAAATAATTCTCCATGTTGGTGTTGTGCGTAAATGCTGAGCAACTGTTTATTTTTATACAATTCAGATATTCCCATCTTTGGTGGTACACTGCGAACGCATTGTGCGTGTTGTGCCGAGAATTCCGAATATACAGAGAGTTTTTTAAGCTTTGAAAATTTTAGCAAAATTGTCTTTTGGCATTTTTTTAATGTCAAATAAAAATCTATGCGATACGTGTTTCTGTAGCTGACACGTCAATGCATAAATGAAACGTGTAAACGAGCTTATGTCTACGTACACCTCTGCTCTCAGGTGTGAAGCGCGTGCTGTACGGACTGAATACAAATCTGAAGAATACACTGTACAAAATTTGTCTACGCATGCACCTAATTCTAAATTAATATAAACATTCTCGTGTATATTAATTCTCCAAATAAAATATAATGCTATTGTAAAACCATTTCTGCAGAAAGACAAAATAGCAATAATTATCTTATCATATATACATATATATATAAGTCGTATAGGTTCTCATGTCCAAAGTCATTGCTTTTTGTGCGAAATGAACAAAATTTTCAAGAACCTCGGAGTATAAAAAGAGCAGTGTGCTTTGAAAAGGGAACGGCGGTTATGAGACATCCAGCAGTGGGCACAACGTTACATATTTATAAGCGGTTAATTATTAAAGAGCTTTATGTAGCTCGACAAAACATCCGTGGTCTGATAGTTGTGTGATATTTGAGGGATGTGAGGGCACACGTTTTTGCTTTGTATTGGCTTGACATTGTGCATTTAAAGAACGGGACTAGGTTTATCATCAAATTACGCAAAGAATTGTAAAAAATACATGCAGAAAAATGTTCTTAGCAGTGTAAATATTTTGATGTTGACATTTTCTCGCAGGTAATACGGACATAAAGGACAGAAAAGAGGACTCCAAACCAATTGAGGACGAGACACAGACTAAAATCAAACAGAGGAGAAGTCGGACTAACTTCACTTTGGAGCAGCTTAACGAACTGGAGCGACTATTCGATGAAACGCACTATCCGGACGCTTTCATGCGGGAGGAGCTGAGTCAACGACTAGGACTATCAGAGGCCCGAGTACAGGTATGTAATTGCCAGTAAATAATTAAAATATTAACAAAATGTATTTACATCTTATTCGTGCGATAATTTCAACAAAAATAATTGCCTCATAATTTATTTAGTTTTGCTAAAATGTTCACAACATATTCTGGTAGCTTATTATTTTTAGATCTATTTATTTTACTAAATGTCTTCCAAAATGTACAAATGCCTAGAGCCTTTCTGCTGGACATGTGTTAAGTGACTATTATATTTTTGAATTGTTGGTTTTCTTACAAGGGTTTAATTTCTAAGAACAATTTTCTTATACATCTTAAATTGATGTTTTGATTTTCTCATAACAACAACGGCCAGTGTTCACTTTTCGGGTATTAAGTTAAGAAGGAATGTGTTTGTTAGCTCTGTTATCGTTAGACCATCTGCGCAGAAACCATGTAAGGCTGGAGTCAGGGGGCTTGTACAGTGGCATGTTGGCACAAAGAACTGTCCAGAACTGTCATATAGGTATCTTTTTTTTTTACCTTTTAGAAAATAGTCTTATTTTACGCACAAGCAGAACATGCTCAATGCGGCAAATCTGAAGTAATAACAAATGCAGGCCTAAAGTTCTCATCATACTAATAAACGATAATCTCCACAAAGAGTAGAAATCAGAGCTCCCCCGTCCAGATCTGGAATGTCCCCAGAAAGCGCATTGTGTCCCATGCGCACAGGATTTGCATAAATTATCGTTTTATTTTGAATCTAAATCAAAAGGAACTCTCTCTCTCTCTTCCCTCTACAGCCATACCTGCCACCATGTACACAAGGTCATCGCGTTTATTATATTATATTTTAGTTTTTTTATTCATCCTCAATCAATAGCGGATTTGGCAGTTATTATAGTCATAAATTATACCTGAAGGCATGCACAAAAGGACTTCCGATTGACATAATGTTGTGGTCAATAAATGAAGCCAGTTGACAGACAAATCAATATGATATTTCAATCCATGTGCGCACTGGACCGATGTAAAGGGAGACTGGAGATTGACATGTTGCATTGTAGACTAATTCGGCTCAAGCTTTTTCTTTGAAATCCAAAGAAGATTATCATAGTTATACTTCGTTTAATGTTGGTTCCAAGGCGTTACTGTGAAATTGACGCTTGTCGATTTAAACGCAAGTTAACTCGTTTGAAGCATTTTTGTGCGTGCGCGCGTTAGGCAGTGATTACACACAACTGTGAGGCATTTAAGCGTTTCGCCGACATGGATTTTCAGCTGATAAGGGTAATTAATTTCAGCGGTCATTTAATGAAAGAGAAATGGGAAGAGAACGAGGGAGATGCTCTCAGATCGCCTTGCTCTGATGTCCCAAACCGTAATAGCTTTGCTGCTATTCGATATCTGAGAGTCCATTCAACTCTTCGGGGATACAAATCTATAGAAAGATGAAACCAACGCTGACAAGGTTATTTATTATAAGCCGATAGCCCTGCACATCTCAACAAGGGGGGGTCTATTCACCCAACAAGAATTTAATGTCACCCTTTGTGGCTCTACTGCTTTCGTTTAAACTATTTCCATGACACCGATTGCAGCAGCCTTCGTGCTCCCTCGTTGTAATACATAAACTAAATGTAATAATTAAAATCCGGGTTAAGCAGCATCATTAATGTTTCAGCGCTCCTTGGGGATTTTTTTTTTTTTCCCGCGCTTGTTGTCACTTGGAGAAGAAGCAGCACGGCCTCACAAGCAGCTGCCAATCAGTGGGACTCTAATTAATTTGTATCCCTACAGGTTTGGTTCCAGAACAGAAGAGCCAAATGCAGAAAGCAGGAAAACCAGCTTCATAAAGGTATGCCTTTCATGTGCCACAATATTATTGTTATAGTACAGTAAACGCTAAAATGTCCTCTTTACGCACGCGTAACTAGAGTCAGAATTCAATTAATGTGCAACCCACAGTGACCGCTGTTAGTTCACTAGTTTATGGGTTTTTATTTAAAAGACAACAACAGGTTATGGTTTTGTTTTGTTGTTTTTTTTTTCATCAGGTGTGCTGATTGGAGCAGCGAATCAATTTGAAGCATGTCGTGTAGCACCATATGTCAACGTGGGAGCTTTACGGATGCCATTCCAACAGGCAAGTTCTTTTGAAGCGTCTAGTATTATTACCACACCAATCCCTTGACTGTTGTCTTGGCACTGCCTGTGCCCAAGAGCTATGCACTAACTCCAGTTCTAATATAAGGACAACAAGAGTCTGTTTAATAACCCTTGCGACTGTCAGTCACTGATGAGACATGTAAATACCTATTAGATTTATAATTTAGGTGTGGGAAATAAAGTTTTTCTTGTAAACTCAGATGCAAGCCAGCATAATTGTTAAATTATGCTGGCATGACTATATGACCTAAAACAACTGCATTTTTAAGACAACCTGGAAATAAATTCTAGGCCTATAACTAGTAGACATAGGCATAAATGACCCATCCAAACAGCCACTGCAAAGTTAACGCGTCTTCTCCCCCTTTTCTCCCCATCCGTGCGTCTCGTCCTGTAGGATAGTCATTGCAACGTGCCGCCCTTCTCCTTTCAGGTGCAGGCGCAACTGCAGCTGGACAGTGCCGTGGCCCACGCGCAACACCACCTGCACTCTCACCTGGCAGCGCATGCGCCATACATGATGTTCCCCGCGCCACCGTTTGGACTGCCCTTGGCCACACTGGCAGAGTCGGCCTCTGCGGCCTCCGTTGTGGCCGCTGCCGCTGCGGCCAAAAACACCAGCAAGAACTCGAGCATCGCAGATCTGAGGCTCAAGGCCAAAAAGCACACAGCCGCGCTGGGACTGTGACGACTATAATCACGAGGGAGAGGCTGCACACAAGGACTCAACTGAGAGAATTATCCAAGGACCATATTTATGTTTTCTTTCTAATGAAGGACAATGGTAATATGTATAAATATACAGGCTATTTATGAAACAAAAAAGAAACAAACTGTAGCCTATGAATTGTTGGAACTCATGGGATGTCAAAGCATGTCCCTATGGGGTCCCATGGGCCCACAACCGGAGGGCCCGGGACAGCCTGAAGGAGAACATGCAGCTGGACGATGGGCTCTTTGTCAAACAGGCGAACCATTCTGCACTTGTTTTCTTTAAACATTGTTATTGGTGTTTTATTGAATCGATATAGAGGCTGGCCTCGTCTTTTTCATTAGTTTCTCTGTGACTGAACAGAGAAGGGTAAATGCAGTGTTTCGAATGTTTGCGTTCAATGGCCAACTAAAAAGTGAGTGTGCCCTACGCCTGATGCAGCGTGTATGTGGTTAGCCTACTCTTTCCCCCGTTACCCCCAACTCAACTTTGGCTATGGCCTTGTTTGGGGCACTTCTGCTAGACTAATGTGAGATCAGTGAAGACCTCCTGTCAGGGCAAGTCCCGTCCACGAGGTTGCTCAAGACATTGCAGGCCCCAAGCCAGTAACAAGACGCACCGGTACGGGCATGTGTAAAATATGTTTATACACACAAAAACATACGTTATTTTTTATCATTTAGTGGCTTCAAAACGCCTCGTGGGACTGTTTATTTTATTTTGTTCATGTGTATTAAAGATCATGTGATTTCGAATTGTAAATTTATGTTTTTATAAAACAGTGGAAGTAATTTGAGGCACGATTTCCTGAAGAAAATTCATCTCACTGTTTTTGTTCAACTTTCTGTGAAACGTGAATTCATCAAAACAAAATGTTTTCTTTCCTGTAATAAATTAAACTACGTTTCTTAATTAGTCCATTATTATTATTATTATTATTATTATTATTATTGCGCTCAAAGCCGTGGATGTTAATAATTTAGGCAGTAGATGTCGGGCTTTTGATAGCGTCACGCTGGTGACAGGCCCGTTTAGTGGGGAACATGGCTCTCTTGCTGCTCCGCTTCCAAATCAATGCATTATTCATAGTTTGGTTATAGAGCGTTTGGAGAGGAGCTCTGCTCATTTCCACTACAAGCAGACGGACAGGCCAACAGGCAGATAAAACGCGCGGCCACTCGATAGCGCGTATAAAATAAAACAAAATCGTTGTGCGTAATTGCCTAACTGTAGACTAATGGCCTTAATTAAAAGCTTGATAACTGCGTTAAATGCATTTTTTTGAAAATAGCTTAGACCTAGGCCTATTTGTGCTCCCTAAACTACAATCTAATGTAATAGAAAATCCATTTGGCACATTCCCAGTTTTTTTTTTTTTTTTTTGCGAGATTAAGAGTTGATGTAACCATAATGGGCTACTACGTCAAATGAAAGTGGTTCGCAGTTAAAATTTCCACTGTCATGCTCTGTCTGGAGACTGGCCAGTCAATCTCACAAATCCAAAAAAAAAAAAAAAAAAAAAAAAATGGGGGGGAGACGGGGACTTGCACTGTTTTGTTTGAGAAGAACGCAGACTCTTTCGCTTGATTTAAAAAGGCACCACATTAATTTGCTGTCTTTTACCGCCTCTTATTGAGCATTAAATAAGCACCTGACTCAAGAGCCTATTATAGGGATCGGAATCATATTACCCTCCGATATTTCCACACAAAACGCAATGTCTGTAGCTATTAATTAATACTGCTCACACAGTCTGCATTGGTCTATGTGTCTCATTGTTTGGGGTTGGATTAAGACGCCAAAACTATTGAATTATTGATTGGAAGCCTCGCCAGTAATGGAGGAGATTGAAACACTGACTGGGATGTGCAAGAGCAGAGAAATGACGGGATGCTGTCCCACCAAAGAGCAGATTCAGTGAGGTCTCCTGTAGAATATTGTAAGTGAAAAACTTACAGTATACCAGAGATAATTTCAATGTACAGATTTAAGACTCAAATCAAATGTAATTTGTAACATTAGATTACACTTCCAAAAATTATCTAAAATGCCGTACATGCATGATCCCATTAAAAGACAGCTCTTCTTTTTGTTAAAATTAATAACCAATAATACAAATCCAATGAATTTTGTCTGTGTCATGAAATGTTCTCTATCAATTTCTTTGGAGCAGTGAGGCTGCATCTATCAGCATGTCCTGAGGTGTGCTGTGGAGTGGAGGGCCTCCACTCTCAGGGGCCCAGGAGACAATGAGACGGGGACACACAAGTGTTCTGCTGATTAGACATGGAGACGAGCCACGCTCTCACTCTCCTCTCAACACACTCTTAAGACACACATCCACACACAGCCAGTCGGGAGCCAGCCAGACTGCTGCTGCTGCCCCTCTGACTTCTGCCCTGTCCCAAACAAAGACACTCAGCTCTATGTATAACAAGAGACACACAAAATCACCAAACATTGGATTTTGATTGGATGGCCTTTTTACTGAATTACTTATTTGGTCCCATATGAATCTAAATAACACACATAGAATGGCTGTGAGTCATAGAGCATGCCTATCCTTCATATCAACTGCTGTCTTACTTTCTATATTTATCCAGTTACAACCCTTGAGACAAACACTACTCTCATTTCCCGCACTGGCCTTTTATCAAATTAGGACATGTTCAACAATCACACAGAGCACTTATAATGACAGTAAATGCATTTTCTGCATGCCACCTGTGATTGACTCTTCTGTACTGGGGCAGTTTGCAAAAGTGTATGTGTGTATATATGTGTGTGTGTGTATGTGGGTGTGTGTGTGCATGTGTGTATGTGGTGCTTGTCTCTCAGAGGGCTGCTTTTGTTATGTCGGAGAAGCTCAGAGAGCAGGACGCGCACACACCACCAAAGACAACAGCCACCAGGAGCAACAGCAGATAAAAGAGACACTTCAAACACATCACGTGGAGAGAAAGTGGTAAAGAAACCTGCAGAAAACTCCCTCCAGTAGCACTCAGACCAGCAATTAGGACGCTGTATCGCTGCCTGTTATCGCACAGGCACCAAGCGGGCCTGGCTGGCTAACCACAGCACTAGTGTGGGCTGCAGTCAGCCGTTTCAGCATTCACAGCCTACTGTTAACACTGCATTTAATTTGACTGTAGGATAAAAAGTGGGTGTTCACTCAGATCTGACCCCTGCTATGACCAGGGAGGTTCTACTGTGCTGATTGCAGATAGATAAACACTTGGTATTCACTGCTCATTCTGTTCAACAGCTAAGTAGAACAAAACAAAACAGAGGTCAGAACAAAACAAAAGTCTAATTGTTTCACTGTTTCCTGTTTAGGTGCCCTGGGGCATGCTGCAGTTATGCACTGCCTGCTTTATATTTGTTATTAATTCATTTCCATTTGCAGCTGGTTCACAGATTAGGACGATAGCATAATGTATAGCTCCCAGCCTTGGTAGAAGACATAACAAGGGGGTATGTGTTGAGATCTGTGGGCATTGGTGACTCTGACAGGCTTGTATTGTTTCTAGTGAAAAAACATTTGGTGTTTGCAGATGCACTGACTTGTGTATGCATTTTTGTGCAGGTTGGTTTACGTATGTATTATGATTGTGGTCGGAGGGAACAGCGTGTAAGAATTTGACAGAAACAACCAAAAGAGAGAGTAACTGCAGCCCACTTGGCCCAGAGCTCTGTAGTTACAAGCTGGTAAGATCCAATCATCTGTGTGTGACTATAATAGAGGTCTTGCTTTTCAATCATCAAATGTTTGTACACACATCTTAAATTACAAAAGACTTTGGGAAACACAGACCTAACTCATCTCATATTGATTGTATTCACACCGTCTGAAGTTTACAAAATGTCATTTTCAAATATCATGCAATGACAAAAACGCAGACCAATCACCCTCTATTTGTATGGGGATGCTCAAGTGTCCTTTTAATGTGGCTAAATCCAGGGAGGTCCAGGATCATTCGCTCCAGCATTAAACACTTTTTCAACATGGTGCTCAGGGAACATTTATAACCATTTATATATCTGTCAGCCACACTCAAGTGCTCTTGAACTGGTGACAGACGCCTGTGGTCAAGGAAAAGTTTAGATGGGATGGAAAATAGCTGCTGCTTTTCAGTGTACTCATCAATCACCTGTGTACACCCAATACTGCGCTCATATAAGCTGTTAGGAGTTTTACATACAGTCATAAATCTGTGGATGCCCAAATATCTATACATCTCACTGATTTTAGAAAACATACAAGTCCATGATAGATGTGCTCCATGCAATTTAGTTACAATTTTCACTGGTTAGTCGCATACAAACACATAACGGTATGAGCAATGTTCTGGATTTTGATCTGACGAAATTGTAAACATGAAACAAAGCTCTTAGTTTATTATATAGAATAGCACTCAAGGAGCTCCTAATGACGCAAATGCAATTAACAAGATCTAAGATTGATGTTTTGTGCTTAAAACATGCAAAGTGGACTGTTGAATGCTTTGGGCACATTTCAAACATGTACCATTCTTAAATATTAAATCTGAGGAGAAATAAAAAGAATTACAGATGCACAAAATGCCTGTTTTCCAGTCTGCAAAAGCTCATTAAATTTTAACATAAGCAGATACTGTAACAAGAATTTGTCCCTGCCTAAGTGCAATCATTTATCATACGTAATTTTGACTTTGTGCAAACAGATCATCCTTTTATCAACTGTGAAATGTGATTCAAAAAGTTTAAACACATTTTGTCTCTTTGAGGAAGTGTATTATGGGAGAAGAGGGTCAACCACTTAAAAAGTAATAGAATTTTAAAGCAGGAAAGTGCCTGTCATCCTAAACATCTTATTCTGATGTTTTTATTGATCTTGCCACTTGTGTCCTCTCATTGATACAACAGTATTGACAGCTGCATTGCTATGGTAATTTACTCCTTATAGGCAAGTACAGTACAAGGGGAGTTGCTATTCCTGGGTTATACTCACGAGCATGCCACACATACACACAATCCTTATTACGGGCTAATAAGATGATAGGTAATGTATAATGGTAGGAGGGCCGTGTCAAGTTCAACTGGGATCTGCAGGTTAAGTGGACCATGAGCGTGCATGTTTGTGCCACTGTGTGTGTGTGTGTGTTGGAGGGGGCAGGGAGGGCTGGTGCATCGTGTTTCATTGCAGGATAATGTAAATTGATGTCACTAGCTGGGAGAAGGGCAGACAAAATGCTTAGAGCTGACTGCGCTGCATTATGGGGGCCAAAAGAGGTACGGGCGGAGGCAGGACCCCACTGTGGAGGGAGTATTGGATTGGCTCAACAAGCTGCCAACGTTTAATTAAATAGGCCTGCATTAGCCTCCTCTCCGCGACGGGTGGTGTGAGCGAAGGACACTATCTCATTCTCAAATGGGATGTAAAAATAGAGCTCACAAGTTGGCCCATGGTCACGCTCCTTCCTCTCCACACTGCCATGTTGTTTAGAGTTTCCCATTGGCTCAAATCATCGTGGTAGGTCATTATGTCACTGGTCTATACAAAAACCAATACAAAAATAAACCTTTACTCACACATGTTAGCATTAGCAGCAGTTTGGTATGGTCTAAAATAGTAGCAGCCGCACTACTGGTAACTGTGGTATAGGGCTGCAAGAAAAAGTTGACTAGTCAGCGATTATTTTATTTTATTTTTTTAA